CCCCAAAACCCCAAAACCCCATGCTTAAACTATATGTTCGAAATGAGTAGAATATTAAGATCTCCTGAATAGAATAATTAAAATATAATAGAGATATTAGTTTAATGGGCTGTACTCCAGGCTGTATGTCAAAGGCCAAAAAGATCTATACAATTACTCCTTCGAGAGGTTAGATAGTTGCAAATGACTTTAAATGTCTGCTGATCATCGTAGATTTTTTACCCCTGAATGTCCTGATAAAAGTGAGCAAAGTCAGCAGGTAATTTACTAGTTTAGAAACTAATAAAAAATTTATTATTTTAGAAAATTTTACTTTATTTCTGGACGTCGACCTGTACTGGACAAGTTTCTCAAGAAAAAATACGATGACTAAGAAACTTTAGAAAGAGAAACTCCTGAGATATATAATGATAAGCCTGGAAACGAGACTACTAGCAATCTAGCTATCTACAGTTATGAAAAGGCAAACCATGAAAATACCGACAACACGCAAGATCTTACTCGTTAAACTGATATGGCTTCAGCGATACAAAGATTAAATACAAATGAAAAAGGAGTTAGCAAGAGTCAAGAAGTTGAGAACTTTGATCTTATCTCAATTTTGAAGAAAAAGACATTTACAAAGCCAAGGCGGCTCTTAAACATCCAGAGTAGTTAGAGTGGTTAGAAATTACCATAGGATTAAGAGGATAATATGTACTTTGACTTTATTGTGGATTAGAAAGGCTATTATCAGCCCAAATTTCTACCATTTAAAGCTAATTATCCAAGTACTTACTCCAAAAAAGAAGGAAGAACTTAAAGACATTAAAGAAATAATTCTCAAGAAATGAATTAACATAGAGTAAACGATTAGCACGTCCAGTCTCAGGATATCAAAGATTTATAAAGAACTGAAAAATAGCATCGAGGTTAGATGCTAATTGTTGAACATATGTCTTCAGAAGCTTAGAGTTTCAAACATCCTGGATTCAATGTCAAAACTCCTAATTTCACAATCTTAAATCGAATCTAATCCAAGCCTGAAGAAAGTGAATATGTCGAAGATAAGCATGATTAATATCCAGGATAAATGAATCTATTACACACTAGATTTTACAAGAAAAACGCAGATGATTCTGAAAGCTTCAACGCTATGTCATCTGGAAGAAGTAGCAGCTACATCTAATCAGTGATAGTAACCTCAAAGCATATTGAAACTCCATCATCATTATTACATCAAGTCAGGAATAGGCATTAGTTCGTGTTTTCAAACATTCAAAATATCAAATAGGAATGAGTCTTTCACAGCAAACAACTTAGTTTATTGTTCCAAACAAGTAAAGCTGATTTTTATAAATATATCATTAAATTCTCGCCTGATTGGAATATATTAAAAACCTAATGCTAATTTGATAAATTTATTTTTTCCTTCTCAATATCTGTAAATTTATCTATCACCAAGGGGTTTTGGGGTTTTGGGGTTTTGGGG